TTGTTGTTGTTGTTGTTGTTGTTGTTGTTGTTGTTGTTGTTATTTTCATTAAACATGAAACTCGGTCAACTTCTTAAAATGTACCATGTTTCTCCAACAATACAGCCTCCACCAATAGGAAGCCCCACCATGTTTTATTGGCATAAAATCAAATTAAGCCCCTCCCCCCAAATTAAGGCCCATATTAAACATGTGAAATGGGGGGGGATGGCGGGGGGGGCTTGCCGTTAGGAAGTACTTTTGTTGCATGCCCGGATATGGTGCTGCCTGCGTTGGTGGGGCACTTCATATCGGGAGACCTTCCACCACCGTTGCTTTCCCTTCTCCCTTGCTGCCGCAGCATTAAGAGCAACGCCACGGCATTTGGCGCAGCCATGCGCGGCCAGCCAGGGCTCCTCCCTGCAACCGGAGCCCTGCAGAGACAATTGGCTTCAGGCGCTCCTATCGCCGCCTTCCCTTTGCCTTCGAAGGTAAAGCCAATTCTTTTAAAAATGACACCCTACTACAACAAAGCCTCCCCTGCCCGAGAGGGCAGCCCAGCCCCATGTGGGGAGGCGAATCTCCCGGGGCCGCAGCGCAGGATCGGCCCACCCCGGGAGAAGCACCCAGCCGCCATCCCTGCCTGGCGCCGGGCAGAGCACGAAGAGCTTCGCCTGGGGCGCCCAGCACAGCTGACAGGTGGGCCCTCCTTCCCGGCGGCAGAGCTCTCCCCAAGGCAGCGAGCGCCTCCCTGCCGGGTCCTCCACTCATCCCACCAGGGCCGCGCCGGAGCTGTGCGGGCTGAGCAGAGCTGGGAAAGTGAGCCGCGGGTGCGCGCCCGCCTGCCAAGCGAAAGGGCCGGGCCGACCCAAGCTTGGCTTCCTTCCCAAGTCCCTCCAGCCCGAACCCGAAGTGGCCACCGGGAGAGGTCGCCCGAGGCAGTGATAGCGCCCACCCATCCATGGAGAGGGAGGCAAGGCGACGGCCTGCATTGCGTCCTCCTCCGAGCTGAGCGGCGCAGAGTCAGCGCCTCTGCCTGATGCCC